GCTGCTGCCCTCACAACAACCCGACCCCAGGTCGGCTGGCGTGGGGAGAGAGGAATTGGGGGAATTCAATTCCCCACCATTTAAAATTTCCCAAGGTTGAGAAACAGTAGGTTATACCATGTATTTTTCTCACTCTCATCTTTGCAGCAGTGATTCTCTTCTGTGCATTTTTACTGAACCACAGCCTCTTCCACCATGTGTCCTTTTTCATATTTCCATTAGCATAAATTTGTACATTTCTAAGGCACTCTGTCATATAACTGTTTCCACTCTGTTCCAAACAGCTGGCACATCCTCTTTCTCTGTGTCCACTTTCCATTCATTATCTTGGAAGGGTCATCTGACTTGTAATACATTCTTCATACTTGCTTTTCCTTTCGTTCTTGTTTCTTTTCATTTCATTCCCATCCTTCCATGTCCATTTTCCCCCAAAATCCATTTCTGACCCCACCCACAAGTGGTCTGTTCCCATTCAGAACCTCTCCTGACCTTCAGATCCCTCGCTAATTTTCAACCTTTTATCATAAACCTTTGTATAATTCCTTTTCTCTGTCTACACACAAACAGGCATACTTAAACTATGTATTTAAAACACAGACCTTTTTCTAAGCCAGCATTCTCACATTCATTCTTAAGCCTTCCAATAGCCCACTTACTTTTTCTGGATTCATCTTGTCTATCCATTCATGTCACCAAGCAGAATAATTTTTCCCCATGGATCACATTAGTTCAGAAAGTTGCATATTTTTTCTCAGAACTAATATTTCGTTCTTCCATTATCACTCCTAACGATCCTATTCTCGTTTCATAGCAACCCAGAGGATACCAATTCATACTTTCTGACATAGATTTTAGCCCTTTTGTTCATAATTAAACCTACCCCTTCATTTCCCTGCACGTATTCATCCACTTCACTTCACAAGAGGAGACCACTTCATTCGCATCTTACAACCTTCCTCTTTCTCTTAGTTTCACAGACATACTATATAGTTAATGTTTGTCTTTCCTTTTCTTTGTTAATTTCTGCTCTTTACCATTTACTCCAGTGTTTGAGAAAACAATGTAAGAGGAGTAAATCAGGGTTTCTCAAATTTGGCACCTTTAAGATATATGGACTTCAATTCCCAGAAATCCCCAGCCAGCATGCTGGCTGGGGAATTCTGGGAGTTGAAGTCCACATGTCTTAAAG